GCGTAATGAAGCTCCAAATGATCAACCTCTGATGCCTCCTCCTTCTAGGGTTTTGTCCAGTACTGAGGCTCCGAATGATCCCCCTCCGATGCCTTCTCTTTCTGGGGCTCTACCGACTGCTGAGACTTCTCCTAAGCAACCTTTGTGAAGGCTCCATCTTGTTTGTTTATTCTGACTCATGTATATGTACATATTTGTAGCTTATCGGGGATATCAATAAATAAGTTTTCCTTCATTTCAACGTATTGTGTTAAATACACCACCAAAGCCTTCTTCGCTAAGTTTCTTTGAATTTTCTTTTGTTGAAGCTTGTATGTTGACGCTTTCTGAGTGGAGCATGTAGGTTGGGGTAGTGTTCCCTTAATTTTTCGAGTGAGGAAAACTTCTCGGTTGGAGACTTGGAAAATCCAAGTCACTGAGTGGGATCGGCTATATGAATCTTAGAACGCCATTGTGCTCGGTCCTGTGTCATGTCCTTCGTTAGATCCAAGTACTCTAAGTCTTTTCTTAGAGTCTCTTCCAAAGTTTTCCTAGGTCTTCCTCTACCCCTTCGGCCCTGAACCTCTGTCCCATAGTCGCATCTTCTAATCGGAGCGTCAGTAGGCCTTCTTTGCACATGTCCAAACCACCGTAACCGATTTTCTCTCATCTTTCCTTCAATTTCGGCTACTCCTACTTTACCCCGGATATCCTCATTCCTAATCTTATCCTTTCTCGTGTGCCCACACATCCAACGAAGCATCCTCATCTCCGCTACACCCATTTTGTGTACGTGTTGATGCTTCACCGCCCAACATTCTGTGCCATACAGCATCGCCGGCCTTATTGTCGTCCTATAAAATTTTCCCTTGAGCTTCAGTGGCATACGGCGGTCACACAACACGCCAGATGCACTCTTCCACTTCATCCATCCAGCTTGTATTCTATGGTTGAGATCTCCATCTAATTCTCCGTTCTTTTGCAAGATAGATCCTAGGTAACGAAAACGGTCGCTCTTTGGTATTTCTTGATCTCCGATCCTCACCCCTAACTCGTTTTGGCCTCCATCTGCACTGAACTTGCACTCCATATATTCTGTCTTTGATCGGCTTAGGCGAAGACCTTTAGATTCCAACACTTCTCTCCAAAGGTTAAGCTTTGCATTTACCCCTTCCTGAGTTTCATCTATCAACACTAGATCGTCTGCGAAAAGCATACACCAAGGAATATCATCTTGAATATGTCATGTTAACTCATCCATTACCAACGCAAAAAGGTAAGGACTTAAGGATGAGCCTTGATGTAATCCTACAGTTATGGGAAAGCTTTCGGTTTGTCCTTCATGAGTTCTTACGGCAGTCTTTGCTCCTTCATACATATCCTTTATAGCTTGGATATATGCTACTCGTACTCCTTTCTTCTCTAAGATCCTCCAAAGAATGTCTCTTGGGACCCTATCATACGCTTTTTCCAAATCTATAAAGACCATGTGTAAATCCTTTTTCCCATCTCTATATCTTTCCATCAATCTTCGTAAAAGATAGATTGCCTCCATGGTTGAGCGCCCTGGCATGAACCCGAATTGGTTGTCCGAAACCCGTGTCTCTTGCCTCAATCTATGCTCAATGACTCTCTCCCAGAGCTTCATTGTATGACTCATTAACTTAATACCCCTATAGTTCATGCAATTTTGTACGTCGCCCTTATTCTTGTAGATAGGCACCAAAGTGCTCATTCGCCACTCATTTGGCATCTTCTTCGTTTTCAAAATCCTATTGAAAAGGTCAGTGAGCCATGTTATACCTGTCTCTCCCAAAACTTTCCACACTTCGATTGGTATATATCGTCTGGGCCTATTGCTTTTCTATGCTTCATCTTCTTCAAAGCTACAACCACTTCTTCCTTCCGGATTCGACGATAAAAAGAGTAGTTTCTACACTCTTCTGAGTTACTCTCAACTCCCCTAAAGAAGCACTCATTTCATGTCCTTCATTGAAAAGATTATGAAAATAACCTCTCCATCTGTCTTTAACCGCGTTCTCTGTAGCAAGAACCTTTCCATCCTCATCCTTGATGCACCTCACTTGGTTTAGGTCCCTTGTCTTCTTTTCCCTTGCTCTAGCTAGTTTATAGATATCCAACTCTCCTTCTTTGGTATCTAGTCGTTTATACATATATCGTCGTAAGCCGCTAACTTAGCTTCTCTGACCGCTTTCTTCGCCTCTTGCTTCGCTTTTCTATACCTTTCACCATTTTCATCGGTCCTCTCCTTGTATAAGGCTTTACAACATTCCTTCTTAGCCTTCACCTTTGTTTGTACCTCCTCATTCCACCACCAAGATTCCTTTTGGTGTGGGGCAAAGCCCTTGGACTCTCCTAATACCTCTTTTGCTACTTTTCGGATACAACTAGCCATGGAATCCCACATTTGGCTAGCTTCCCCCTCTCTATCCCACACACATTGGGTGATTACCTTCTCTTTGAAAATGGCTTGTTTTTCTTCTTTTAGATTCCACCATCTAGTAGTCCTTGGGCACTTCCAAGTCTTGTTCTTTTGTCTCCCTCTTTTGATATGTACATCCATCACCAACAAGCGATGTTGATTAGCCACGCTCTCTCCTGGTATAACTTTGCAATCCTTACAAGTTATACGATCCCCTTTCCTCATTAGAAGAAAATCTATTTGTGTTTTTGACGACCCACTCTTGTAGGTGATCACATGTTCTTCTCTCTTCTTAAAGAAAGTGTTGGCTAAGAAGAGATCATATGCCATTGCAAAATCCAAGATAGCTTCCCCATCCTCGTTTCTCTCCCCAAAACCATGGCCACCATGAAAACCTCCATAGTTGCCTGTCTCCCTGCCCACGTGTCCATTTAGATCTCCTCCTATAAATAACTTCTCCGTCTGAGCAATTCCTTGCACCAAGTCTCCAAGGTCTTCCCAAAATTTCTCCTTCGAACTCGTATCCAACCCTACTTGAGGTGCGTACGCACTAATCACATTGATAAGTTCTTGTCCTATTACAATCTTGATTGCCATGATTCTATCTCCTACCCTCTTGACATCTACAACATCTTGTGTCAAGGTCTTGTCCACGATGATGCCAACACCGTTTCTCGTTCTATTTGTGCCCGAATACCAAAGTTTAAACCCTGAGTTTTCTAGATCCTTTGCCTTACTACCAACCCACTTAGTTTCTTGTAGGCACATAATATTTATCTTTCTCCTCACCATAACTTCCACTACTTCCATAGATTTTCCCGTTAAGGTTCCTATATTCCACGTTCCTAAACGCATTTTGCTCTCTTGAACTCTACCCTTCTGTCCTAGCTTCTTCACCCTCCCCCGTCTAATAGGATCAAAGTACTTCTTTTGTGTGTCCCGTGTAAAGTTGATAGGAGCATATGCTCCCAAACAACTTTGAGTGGAGTCGTTCGAAAAGAAGTTTCTACGGCCCCCTTGCTCATTTAACACTGCATCCGGGTGCCGATGGAGATACAACGACCCTTGCTCACTTATCACTGTGCTCGGGCCACACAGCGCGCCACTTACGGGTGACGCCCTAGCTTTAGCGCGATTTTGTTCTGGATTCATTTTCATAAGGATTCGATGTGATCATGGAGTGCCAGCTGTCGACTACCTGACGCCTTCCCCCTCCTACTCAAAAAAAATTATAATTCTTAAAAACAACTTGGATGAACTTCTTTCAAGAACAATTTTTTTTACAACCCAAAAACTTGTTTGGTATCTAACCTGGAAACTATTTTAAATCTTCAAGGATTTAGGCCATGTAACCCAAAAACTTGTTTGTACAAAACTATTAGGTGGCAATGGCCGAGGGAGGATATTAAGCTTGGGTCGGAATCCGAGAAGCAACCCGGAAAATACTCACCAAGACCCAATATCTTGACGACTTGATTTGGAACTCTCAATTTCACACTTCATACTATGAAGTCATGTTGTCTTCAAATGGGTTTTGTTCACACATATGGTGGTGGGTTGCTAATTTCAAATGCTGCCATTGAAATTGACCAAATTGAGTTTGAAATAAAGCTTTGGTAATGGCGGAGAGGTGAGGTTGGGGCTTGCGGGTGATTAGAGTGAGAGGACGGTGGGTAAGGGATGGTGGGAAGGAAATATCTCAATCATTGGAAAGATCCATGTCATGGTCGCTGGAACATCTATCTCAGTCGCTGGAAACATATCTCTCATCGCCGCCAGTTACTCTCAGTTGATGTTTGGTGACGCAAAGAAGAAGAAAAAAACAGTAAAAACAGACTTTTGTTGTTCTCAGATTTTAGGCTAGTTTTTGAGTTATTTTTTAGTTCAAGTTTTGCAAAACAGGCTTACCAAACAAAGTTTTGAGTTGTGAATTGAGAAACAGTTTTTGAATTAAAAACCTTTAACTCAAATAGAATACCAAACAAGCTCTAAATAATGCAGCTTTTTGGTGTAGCTCTGTGGGCAGCCGCAACATAAGAAGGTATACCCCAACGTCCTCAAAAATCCAAGTAAAGTTTATTCGATCCCAGTTTCGCAGACAAGACTTGTGGCAAACAGCGTCAGGAGAGTACATGTGTGATTCATGCCAAATGCACCAACAAGAGTCTTAACACCACCCGTGAGGCGAACAAAACACGGCCGTGTTTCGGAGCATTTTAGATAAGAAACATATGTTGGCACAGGGATAGGATGACTTCGCACGCGGCACCTAAACTACTTACGTCCGGAACAAAAACAAACTAACATAAGTATGATGAGATATGCTAGCGTTAGTTGTTAGTTGTCCATGCTCGTACATGACTATAAACCATTGATTAGCATCGCCTTCACTTCCACAGCAATCAATGGTTACCACGAGGAGTAGCAAACCCAAAAGGATCATAAAACGTATGATAGTTGTCCACATAGTCTAATAACTTCACACAAAAAAGTTTAAAACAGAGGGTAGGGAATTTCACACATTTTCTCCAGGAAAATAAAGGAATGAGCGGGAAAGGAGAGAGGATGCTCAAGAAGATAAACCTAAATGAAAAATCAACTAATATATAATTGACTTCCCAAAGTATGAGGATCTACCATTCACACCCAAATCACAAGTACTTATAAAATAATGATAATAGAAAGCGATACAAACACAAGTAACATAGTTGTGACAAATCAGTTTTTCTCCCCAGCGTAGTGGTTGCGTTTGCCTTAAACATTTACCCATCGCATCATGTTCGACAGAGTTTTCCTAAGAACCGCAACACGCTGATTTTTGGGCAGCTTGAGCAGCCCCAGCTCCCTGGTCTGGTTGGTTAATTTTGATTGTCTGAGGCTGCCAAAATCCAACAAAAGTAACCTCAGTATATCATCAGAGCACGAGATGACAGATTGGGTTTAATCAAACAATCGCCAACCAGCTCTAGTTGGTAGCAAAGACTTGATAATGAAAAAAACAATTCGGCACTTTAGAGGGTGACTGACTTCCAACTGATATATGCACCCACTACACACTTTCATTTAATTCTTGAACACAAAGAGTTTCTTTGAGCCAGAAAAGGCACTCTTTTCCATTTAGTTATTAAAAAGAAAGCATTTCTAGAGATAAAAAATGGATACCATATATTTCAAGTATTAAATTAAAAAGATCACATAAGTACCAATAATTTAGTTATAGAAAGGAAATCTAGCTACGTACGTATCAGGAGAAATGTAGTAATATAAGTGACATGGACATTATACCTCAGCCCTCGAGTCAGTATCGGCAAGTCTTTGCTTGATATCCCTAGCTATTGAAAAGAAGACCTCTTCCACATTCAAATTTGTCTTTGCACTCTGTAATTCACAATATCTTTTCAGGAAAATGGGAAAAAACCAAACTACATTGTAAGTAAGAAGACACCATGAGAAACTCACGGTCTCAAAGAATTTGATGCCATATTCGTCAGCAAGGGCTTGACCCTTCGAAGTGGGGACAGCCTGAAAGAGGTCACTTTCGTCAAGACAAGATTGAAGAACCCTGAATCACACTCAAGAAACATACAAAGAAGGGATTGGAACAAACCCTTTTGCTTTCATCCATGTCAGCCTTGTTACCCACAAGGATCTTGTTGACATTGTCAGAAGCATGCTGTTCTATGTTTCGAATCCAATTCCTAATGTCTGAATACAGATAAAAATATAGCTTGATTACCATGTATATGTAATAACCATAACACGTAAAAAATAGACCATAAAAAATCACATATAATTCCAACAGTCCAAGTGTACAACCCCAATATCAAGAGAAATATACCGTCTTTTTTCATATTTTTTGGAAAAGGAGAAATATACTGTCATCAACAGAGATCTAGAAAGCTAGGGAACGGACAAATGATGAATATATGCATAGGGTGATGTAAGTGATGAAGAAGTTACTGTTAAACGATGACTCGTCAGTGACATCATACACGAGCAAAATACCCATGGCTCCACGGTAGTAAGCTGCAGAGACAGAATACAAGGTTATCAAAATTCTTAGGAAATGAAGGCAAGATTCCAAAAACTATCAATCTAAAAGGTAATATGAGATCTCAGCACAATTAACAGCTTTAGATGTATTTTGGAGCCACACTCAAAAAGGCGACCAAATATTATGACTTCATAAACTAAATGTGCTGAAACCCAGTTAAACTAAATGTGCTGAAACCCAGTTCCAACTCTGACCACTTAATGTGCCCACCGGCCTGACCCACAAAAGTTGAAAACTGAGAGAAAATAAGGCCTGCAACTGAACTGGCCCTAGTCATCAGGTTTACATAATTCTTCCATGCACGTCTCACAACTGTAACAAGAAGGCAACAGAGAAGCTCTGGAATTATACAAGACCCTCCACATTCAGATTGCCGCAAGCCAGCAACATAGAAAATATGGAAATATCTTAAGTTTAGACCAAACACCAGCTTATCCAGAGTATTAAGTTTCTTGCTAGTGGTTTGACTCCACTAATCCCAATGGAGTCAAACCAAAAATAGTATCACTATAAACGTACAACACTACAGTGACACCATGCCCCTTTTTTGACAGGAGACTATAGTAGTAACAGCTTCCAACCTACTCTTTAACGCTGAACTTGATCAAATTTACAGCTCCAAATTGAATTTCGGAACCAAATACAAGCCCTGCTGAGCTTGAAGACATTGGGTTGTTCTAACTTAAAAACATTAAGATCCAATTTCGGTTAATACATGCTCCTTCATGAAGATGCATAATTGATAAACGAGCTTGCAAACACAGCTGTAAGAAGCATACAATCAAAACTTCCATTTAGGAGAAAGTTGGACATGGTTACACATTCAAGTTCAATTTAAAAACAATTTGAAGCCACAGAACTAACCAGTTGTAATTGTTCGAAACCGTTCTTGACCAGCAGTATCCCAAATTTGCAATTTAATTCTTTTCCCATCAAGCTCTATGGTCCTTATCTTGAAATCAATACTGTCAAAGAATTACAACCTAGCAAGATTCAGAAAGCGTTGCAGAAAAATAGAGATAACAAAACCTCAATCACATTCAAGCACAAAAATTTCCTACCCGATGGTTGTAATGAAACTAGTTGTAAAGGACCCATCAGAGAAACGCAGAAGAAGGCAACTCTTACCCACACCTGTAAAGTCACATAACAAAGAAAACAAAAAGGAATTAAACTCAAACTAATGGTTGTGGTACATACAAGGACACATAAACCATAATTGTGAACAGGCTCAACATCCTTAATCAATAAAGATACGTCATCTGATCCTAGTAACCCTTGAAAGGCATTTGAAAACAATAAAATCATTGGTTGCCTGACGATTTTAAACAGAACTAATCAACCCAATGCAACAAACATTCCCTTAAATTTGGAAAAAGTCCGAGGTGTTAGATGGAACGACACCTTCAGAAATATCAATGAACTAGCAAATACATGGTTTACAAAACTACTTCATACAGCTAGTGCGTTTAGGCTCAACCATTACTTTATGTTATTAGATTGAAGAGGTGTCTCAAATATGCATAACTTGGCCTATTGGAAACTCCCCAAGGTGTGGGCCCCTAAAAGGAGTCACCCTGTGGAAAAGTTCAATCTTGCAACACTTGCTCAAAATAATGCACTGATGAAAATTTCCTTACAACCGGGAACACATTATCAAAGAAATTACGCTAAGTGGACTCCTAAGAAAGCAGCATTCACTAGATTGACCCGAACATATGCTTCAAACTCCAATAGTCCCGAACCACAACAGGATTACTTTGAAATGCATAAGGACTATACCTCAAAATACAGATACCACATGAAATTCTGACTCAAAGGAAGCTAACTTAGAACTTCAATTAACTAAATCAATCACAAATCTAACAACTCAGACTGCCTATTCAGAACATACGCCATCTGATCCTAGTAACCCTTGAAAGGCATTTCAAACAATCAAATCATCGGTTGCCAGATGATGGTAAATAGAACTACCCAACCGAATGCAACAAACATCCCCTTAAATTTGGAAAAGTCCAAGGATTTCAACGGAACGACACGTTGGGAAAATCAATGAACCAACATACACATGTTTAAGGCACCACATCAAACAGCTAACAGGTTTAGGCTCAACTATTGCAGACTCCCCAATGGTGAAGTTCAAGCTAGCAACACTTGCTGAGAATAATCCACTGGTGAAAATCTCATTATCAAATAGGTAAATTATGCTAAGCGGAGTCCTTAGATAGCGCCATTCGTTTAATACAATAACCCAAACATATGCTCCAAACTCTTATAGTCCCCGAATACAATGAAACTATTTATTTTGAAAATGCATACAAAATATACCTGAAATACACATACCACATGAAATGCTGCTCAAAGGAAGCTAAACTAGAACTTCAACTAACTACATCAATCACAAATCTAACAATTCCAACCGCCTACTCGAACGAAGAGGCTAACCAAACCGCAACCTAAAACTTTCACCTCCAATAAATTACGCACATCAATCATGTACCTGAATTAACAGCAACAAAAAATACGATCTACCAAACAGAAATCGAAATCACAAATATCCTAAATATGCACGTCATTAGCCCTAAATCAACCCTCACATTAGAACCTAAAATTCCCAAACAATATACGATCAAACGACGACGCAATAGCAGATTTCAGTCCAGGAGATCAGAAATTTCCTAGAGATGTAAAATCGTACCGCTGTCGCCGATCAGGAGGAGCTTTATGAGGTAATCGTAATCAGCTCGAGCTCTGGCAGGTGGAGCAGCCATGGCAAGAATCCCAAAGCCACAGAAAAATTACCAGTGACGATAAAACCCTAGAGAGGAAACCGCTGATTGGTGAATAAATTACAGAGAAAATAATAAAAAAATAAAAAGGAGAAATTTGATTCGAGGAAGGAGAGAAATACCAGATCAGGAGAGAGAGTGAGATCTAAGAAAATGTGAGAGAAGGAGGAGGGAAGCGGAAGCAGAGTCCCTGTTACGTCAGCAGACTCAGCAGCACAAGTCGGCCGTTGATTTTTTGTTTTATTTGTTTTGATTTTATTAGCAAGAGAAGTATTGTGGTGGGGTACGAGAGTTCCTGGCCGTTGGATTATAAGGGGAACGAGATCTGAGTAGATGAAAAGCGCGTCATTGTACTCGTGAAGAGCGTCGCAGATGTTATGAATCTTAACAAGAAGTTATTTTGAATGTGCATGATCTGGCTGAATATCAACGATATGGTAAGGACGTTGATATTAAGTAAATATTACATTGATATTTGATTGATACATATGACGTAAATAATTAGTATCAAAACGTTATAAGTTAATAGGACAAGGATTCTCTGTCCTTCCACTTCCGGTGCCCTCTCATGCCCTTCTATTTTGTGTAGTCACGGTTAAGTCACGTCAACATTTTATATTGTTTTTTTATAGAGATAATAAGAAAAAAAATGAATAGTAATATAAAATGTTGACATGGCTTAACCGTGACCACACAAACAGGAGGGCACGGGAGGACACCGGAAGTGAGAGGGCAGACAATCCTTGTCCAAGTTAATATAACGTTGTTGAGATGATATTAATATCGGTTGTCATATCAATAGTTGTGTCATTCACGTCAGATCATGCACAGTCCACGTGAAAATCATGTATATGCATTATGGTATATGATCGATCTCCACCAATTTCTCTTCCTTCTTCATAACAATTAATAATATAACTCACTAAACGCTAATGTTTGGCAAGAAAAACCATTTGACAATTCTTAAAGAACAACAATCTATATAGAAAATTACAGCAATACCAAACTGACCCCTAAACTAAAGAGTTCCCATCATCTTACTAATCAAAAAAACGAGATGATGTTTCACGAACCTATGGAAGGCCGACCCACCAAAACTAGTTTTGATCATTTGCCCAAAAAGCGAATTTAAACCATATTATTGCTAGTTTATTATGAGGCTTAGCTTACTATCCTACCTCCTCTAATATAAATAATAAGGAAAACTAATGAAAAGGGTTTGAAAACTTTGAGTTTTAATGATAATGACAAAATAAAGGGTAAAGTGAATAGTACCATGATTGACTTTTTAGTGTAAAAATGTGGTTTTTCGTTAAAGTGAACAGTACCGGGTGCTTTTTGTTAAAGTTCCCAATAATATTGTTTCTTAAAAAAAAATCACAATTTGTTGAAACAAACCTTCCCCCTAATCCAAACTTGAGGGCCTTAAGTTTAGGGTTTAAGGGCTCATAGTTTAGGCCTTTCAAGTAATTGGGTTCATCATCTTTTTTGGAGTCCATGCCTTTAACAAAAAGGCTTCTATCAGGTGGCCTGCCCTTGATTTTGGAACAGATACCCTTAACAAAATAACTTCAATTTTTAAGTTTATTTTTATTTCTATATAATTTAATCGTCAACTTCAATTTTAAGTTGTTTTATTTTTTTATTTTTTGTGTGCAAAGATCTAGTTGTCATGTATGCCTCCTACCAACTAAGAGTGTAACACGCATTCGCACATTCTAAGAAGATTTCAGATCAAAATCAACATATAAAATATGCCAACTAACTAATAATTTTAAAACAGCCCAAAAATAAATCTCAGGTACCCTTCCACTTGCATTCCAAGGCTTCTGCGCACCTTCCAACTCTTATTAAAATACCAATTATAATAAATTGGCCACCTATGCATTCAGACAGTACGTCCCTTTATATACGTACGTGTGTATATATATTTTTTTTTTTTTTTTAAATGCCCGAAATTGGAAAGGGAGAATTTTTTTTTCTTTTAAACAACAGATATTATTTGCACTAAGACTTGTAGAACCATCAAAGAGATAGGCCAAGGGCCTACTTCCTACAACAACTATAGTATCTTCAACTTGATAACTACCACCTGCATGATCTGTCAGGTGTGGATTTTATCACAAAAGATTTCGATGTTAGTTAGAGTGAGATTATGATATTTAAACTATTATTTTTGTTTTTCTAAAACTGATGTAGGATTTAACACACCATCTCACATGAGACCCAAGTACTGAGTCACACATGAAAGATCATACATCAACAAACACGTGGAGCTAAAGGGACTCACCCTACACGCAGGCAAAAAGACCCACCATCATCGAATGGAGCCAACGGGACCCACACATCATGTGGCAGTACATTACGGGCCCGATCCCTAGCTCTGATAACATGTAGAATTATCAGAGAGACGAGTCATAAGCCCACTTCCAACAACACTGATATTATCCACAACTTGGTAATTACCACCTGCACAATCTATCAGGTGTGGGGTTTTATCACAAAAGACACCTGTATTAGTTGGATGCGGTTCAAATTCGTTTTTGGGTAGAATTGAACCTAAGACCTCTCACTCACAAATGAAGAGGAAAGTGAGGATTTAAACGCAAAGTTATATTGCTATTTAGTAATATGGTTTAGTGGTATTCATCTTCACTTATAAGTGGGAGGTCTTAGACTCGATTATCGCCAGAGACGAATTTAAAACATATTATTATGGCTAGCCTAGTGTAAGGTTGAGTCTCACTCCCCTCACCTCTTTAGCGTAAATAATGTCGTTTGTTTATAAAAAAAATGTACATTAATATTGAACTCATCATCTATATGAAGCAACTTTATTCGTTTACTTACAAATAAAATAAGAAAAGTAATGCTAGAGAGATTAAATTTGCAAACTAAATAATGTGTCATCAATAGGAATGAACACGTTTATCAATGCTTAAGTAATAAACCAATCATCAACTTCCATATCTTTTAGTTTTCAAAATTTAGTTTACAAATTTAATTCCCCAAGCATTACTCAAATAAGAATACAAACAAACTATAAGTTAAAATACTAGCAGTTTTTTAATTATAAATATTTGATACTTAAAACTAAAAGATGATGAGGTGCCATGTGTCAATCCCATCCTTAATTCTGCCAAATATAGAAAATTGATCATCTCTGGATCTCTTCCACCAAATTCACCCAATTACCTAATTCGGGCCCTTAAAATTTGATCTAACGACTAAAATTATTATAACTTTTAAAAGGGCTCTTGTTTGTAGTTGTTGAATCAAATTTTAAAGGTCCAGATTAATTGATTGGTTGAATTTGGTATAAAGGATTCAGACATGATCCATTTCCCTAATATCTGAAAGCCTTCTATCTTCTGGCACTTCCACTTGTAAGTTTGTTTTTATGTGGGAGTTGTGATGGACGGTCGGTTTTCTTACCAGTCAATTTGCTGTGTCGGCTGGCTAGCTCTTTCCAATCATACTTTATTCTTCCGCAATCCGCACAAAGACCCAAAGGCAATTCAAGACGCATTCGCCAATTTATGGAACAATTATCACTTCATCAAAAGGACAATAATTAGAATTGTACTTTAGAAGTTTAGCTGTGTAGTTCAGAAGTTTAGTTGTGGTAAGGTTAGTTGTTTACGCAATTTTTGATCGTTGATGTATGTGAGGTTTGCAGTACATTAACAGTTCGAATTCATCTATATTGTCAATATATAACTGACTAGGTTCACTTATGTACAAGTGGACCATTAAAATTACAATTTTTCTTTAGATTTTAATACGTGACAAATACGTATTTATGTCACTTCCTTTTCATGAATACGATTGATGTTACACATGTAAAACAAGATTCTTAGTGCAATATTTGTTGCCATATGAGAAAGATTCGAGCAAATTTTAATTTTTCTGATTTAAAAAATAAATGAAGAAAAAACGATATGAAATTGGTCAGCATATTTAAAAGCATAGAATTAAAGTGGAATATTGCATGGCGCAGGAATTCCGAAGTATCGATTCTCTAGATGAGGAAAAATCAAAGTTAGAAATTTGCGAGTAAGATTCCTCACCCAAATTCCGATCCCTTTGTTTTTGTATTGATGCAGGCATGTTCAAGTTAAGTTTTTCAAGGAATCCTTCTTCAGACAAATTTGAAATTTATAATCGAATAGATGTCTCAACAGATAACAACTTACACAGAACCAGTTTATTATATTTGTGGCGTCTCTAATATCGCATTGTCATGTAAATAAAAACTTACACATAACAATGAAGTATTGAACTTGAAGACGCCATCTAATAGTAAACTCGTTTCATTTAAGTTTATCTCACTAGCATGGCCACCATTTAGTAACATCATTTTCAGGTAAGTAAGTCAAATGCTATATATGGATCTTCACATCGGTTTCATGGTAACTTTACTACATCAATAAAAATGTCATCTTGACCTAAAGCATGTGATGTGTCGTAGTGTCTGATAAGTAATAAGAGAGCATTTTTCGTTTGGTCACATATTTTGTACCACATTTGTATCATTTCTATTAGAGGTAGAGAGTCTACTAACACATCTATATCAAAGAAACAATACAAAGGATGGTACAAATAAATGATACAATCAAAATTTTCCCCTTGCTCGTCCTCGAGTGGTGAGTATAGTTGTTGGTATGGCTGCTTATTTCTTTTGCTGAGTTTTTTAGAGGCAAATTAGTGTATTCTTTGCGCATATTAATTTGTTGTTGTGAAATTAGATATTAAATTTAATTTGCTCTCTAGTTAGACACGTATATTTGCATATGTGGATTTATTTATGGCCCTTGTATTTTGTTATGCTGACCGCATAACAGCTGACCTGAACAGCGGATTTGCGAGGTTCATAGTGATTGTAGTGAAGACGATGATCATTTCCTCTACTTGGGCTTCTTTGTCCACTTGACCTACTAACAACTTTTCTTTAAGTTATCTCTTATACTATTTTCTTCTATATGAATGAAGCTTAATTTAGACAAATGAAAAGATGTTTGAGGTGGACATTTGTTGAAGTTAAACGACATCCTAGAAGGTATGAGTTCGATATTCTAAATTGACATTTGTAGTTTGAGTCCAAATCGATAAAATACAAAAGTTCATGCATAATCAAAACAAAATTTAAAAGAGAACAACTTATATAGACAACATAACGGTGCACTCGGCCATGTAAGTATTTCTCAAACCAAAGTGAAGAAGAAGAAAGAAAAAAAAAAAAAAAGGACAAATGAACAAACTGGGTACATAATAGTTG